TTCTGAGAAAAACCCCTAGATGCAACTTCGGCGTCGCAAGTATGGGTTTTCTGTAAAAAACCTCTGGATGCAACCTCCGTGGAGCTTTTTATTACTATGCGAAGAATAAGGGCCTCTTTCGTGCATGTGAGCTTTCCGTCATGGCAGGGCTGACCCAAGCACAGGCTGCTGATCTTGCGAAGCTTTCGTCCGACCTCCTGTTCATTCTTCAGGAGGCGGATGTGTCACTGCCAAACCAGGCTCAGCTCGGTCATCTGGATGTTGTGTCAGTGCCTTTGTTTGCTGGCTTGGACGAGACCAGGGTCAAGGTCCGGGAAGCTTTGGCGGCGCCGTTGGATGTCGAGGGCAATGCAGCCAATCGCCTGGAAATGGCAAAACTGTTGGTGGCTTGGGAGGCTGCAAAACTTCAAGCCGAGGCCACGCAGCGCAACCGGGCGGAGGCTCGTCTTGGGACGCAACAGCGCCTGGTTCAGCCTTCGGAGCATCAAGCCATGAGAGCAGCGGTGGAAAGAGTTCTCGGGACCCTTCGTGACAAAGAAGTCCCCGCTAAGCAGGTCATTGCTGCGAAATTGGAGATGTTGGAATCCAACTCCCCCACCGCGGTCCTTCTTACCGAGGTGGCATCTGTGGAAGATGCCGAAGTGGAGTCCTTTGAGGCTAAGATCGCCCCGGTCACCAACACCTTGAAAATCAAGAGCGGCAAACATAGCGTTGCTGCGCCCTCCACTCCGGAGGATTTGCGCCTGAGGCATAGGCGCATCGGCTTAGCTTGGGACATGCAGGCGACTAAGCATTCCAACAGGGCTTGGTTGTCACCGAACATGAATGACTGCATGCGACGGTTTTCTGATTTTATTCTGGGCACGCAAGTTGCGGGTCTGGTGGCAGGCAGCAGAGTACCTTCCTGGAGCCTTGTTTTGGCATTTGAGCACGAGTGCCGAAAGGCAGTATGCAAATGGCTTCGAGATGGCAAGGTTAACACCCTGGCGGATGGCTATGAGAAAGCCCTTTCGGATGTGGAGTTGCTCAATCGTTACTTTGTCATCCCCTTTTCTCTGAATACCAAAGAGACTGGTTGGGCGGCGAGCAACGTGCCTCCGCCTCCCACACCGGGAGATGGTCCGGGGCGCCCTCGTAAGGGAGGCCGCAAGGGGAAAACCAAGAATCAAGATACCTCCACGGCGGCCAAGGGCAAGCTTACCAAGGCTACAGATGGCACGCTCATCTGTTGGAAGTTCAATCGCCGTGGCAGTTGCCAGGATCAGAACTGTCGTTTCTTGCATATTTGTCAGCGTTGCCAAGGGGAAACATCCTCATTACAGCTGCAAGCATGTCAAGCGGCCGGCGGGCGCCGTGACCACGCCCGCTCCAGCACAGGACTGACTCCCGACGACGGATGAGGCTCTTAATTCAGTTTCAACCCCCAGCCTGCGACCACCAGCTGCTTTCAGGCTGCTTTACCTCTTTGCAGGCGAACCTCGCAAAGGTGATTTACGTTCCGCCCTGCAGGAGTTGGCACAGGCTGCCTCTGTCACAATACAGGTGGAAGAGTTTGACCTCGTGCGTGGACATGATTTACTTGCGGATGAAATTTGGCTGCCCCTCCTTAGGAGGGTCAAGAATCAAGAATTTACGCATCTTTTCTTGAGTCCGCCCTGTGAAACTTTCTCAAGGGCTCCATGGTCTAACCGTCGGTCTAACGAACAGTCATGGACCGGCTCCTCGAAGTGCTGATTGGCCCGAAGGTTTTCCCTGGCTTCGGGGCTCGACAAGGTTCGGGCGCAGACGGGCACCGAGCTCGTCAAGCGCTGTCTTCAGATGGTGGCAGTGGCACATGAAGCCAAGGTGCATTGGCTTTGGGAACATCCAGAGGACCTCGGGCCTACACCTCGGGGCTGCCCTGCATCTGTTTGGAGCTGGCATGAATCACGCTCTCTCTTCGACAAGCTGCAGGTTTCTACTGTTGCTTTATATCAGTGCGCGCTTGGCGAGGATTACCGAAAACCTACGAGGCTGGCTGGCACGTGGGCCAACTTGCCAGCGTTGCCTCGGGCCGTTTTCGTACGAAGCCTACGGCTGCTTATGGGCCGGCGCTCTGCAAGGCTTTGGCCGAGTCCATGTTGGCCACCACGCCCTCTTCTTCGTCGGTCTCCTCGGGGCGGTGGGTCGCTACAGATGAGGCCGTGGATGGAGCAATTTTCTCGAGTGGCGATCCGGAGACTGCCGCGGGTCTCTTGTTGCAACAAGGTGCCTCTGTTTCTTTCAGTACTCTTTTGAGGCTGTTTGAGTTGCTTCCGGGCGCGGTTCCGGCTCGGGGAGAGGTTGCTTCTAGGTCTAAGTCTTTTGCGGTGGGGGCTTATGCAGTGGGCGGTAGCCTGGCTGGCCTCACAAAACAACGAAGCTCCTCACCGCTGTCACACGGGTTCTTTGCAGTGTGGTCAAGGGACTTGACAACGACTTGGCACTTTCTGCTGTGGGCATCTTCAGGAACCTTCAGACTTCACCACACAAGGACTCTGGCAATCAAGCTGGCTGTGAAAATCTGGTGGCGGCCCTCTCTGGCTTCAATCAAGGAGGGATATGGCTTGAGTCTTCGGAGGGCGAGGTCTCTTGTCCCTTCAGTGGCTACAGCAACCGAGGCGTGGTTCTGGAGATCCCCCCTGGCGGTCATATCAGGTTTGACCCTCGCCAGCTGCGTTGCACAATGCCATGGTCGGGTGGCGACCGTACAGTTCTGGTAGCATATACGCCTTTCTGTGGACCGTCGCTGAAGGAGGACGATCGTGCCACGCTCATGGGGTTGGGCTTTCGGCTATCGGTGGCGTCTTTTCCCTCGGAACCGGTTTCTACGCCGCCGTCTAGAGAGGCCAAGTCTTCTACTAGAAAACGTGCTGCCGATGGGACGGCTCTCTGGGATGACAGCGGCGATGGTACTTCGGCAAAGTCTTCCGCTAGAAAACATCCATCCGATGGGGCGGCTCTCTGGGTGGACAACGGCGATGGTACTTCAGCGAAGTCTTCTGCTAGAAAACATCCATCCGATGGGGCGGCTCTCTGGGATGACAACGGCGATGGTTCTTCGGAGTGGTGGCAGTCATCACGTCAGTCAGGACACTGGATACAGGACCCAGAACGCTCTACGTCTGAGGAGGACGAAGATGGTTATCCGGTGGCACCACGTGGGTCTGGCAAGCTAGGTTGGGGTCCAGCTTTGGCCACTCGTGCGGGAGGCAAAACTAAGCTCTACAGCGATGGGCACGGTCTGGCTTCTCCAGGGAGGTGGCCTCCTCACGCCAGGCCATGCGCTGATCACGATCCTGAGCTTGTTTTCCACAGGTCGCTCATGGATCAGCTTCTGCATTTCATCGCGGACAACATCGATTACAAGAGGGTGGTGTGCTTTCTTGCGACGGGCAAATGTACGACTTCACCTTTTTCGGATGCTGTGATGGATCAGGCTCGGCAGTTGGTCTTCAAGTTCATTCGGGATCAGGGCTCAACTGCTCCGCTTGAGACGATTCCGGAGAGACAGCCTTTTTATCTTCATGCGATTTCCGAAGTGCTACGCTTGGCCAACGATCCTGATTGGAGGCAATACACTGTTGCTACACATTCGTTCGCCAATGGAGTTCCCTTAGGTGTTGATCATCGAATGGCAAGGTGTCCGGCGCTCTTCGAGAGGAAAAGGCGGCATCGTGACTTTGAGGGGCTCAGGGCTCATGAGTGCGAAGAGCTCAGGGACAACTATCGTTCAGCGGATGGTTTTGAAGACAAAATTGAGTCTCAGTTCGACAAGGAGATCGGATTGGGGGCAATGATCAAGCTAGATCTGTCTGAGGCACAGCGGCGCTTCGGACAAGATTTACCCATCGCATCCTTGGGATGCATCCCCAAGGCTGACGGGTCTGTTAGAGTAGTGCACGATGCTACACGCGGCCAACATGTCAACGACGCCATTCGGGTCAGGGATGGGCAAGCTTGACCTTGCATTCTCTTCCCTACGTGACCTTCAGCCTGAGCGGCGACATCTCGCGGGCCCACGGTTATCCAAGGTCCGTGAACAGGACTGGCCAAGGCAGGCTTGTCGCGCGCGCAAGCACGGCAGTGTCTACTTGAATGCTGTTGGGACGTTCGGCGTGACTAGCGCAAGTTACTGGTGGCATCGCTTGATGTCAGGGCTCGGACGTTTCTTGTATTATTGCCATGGGACAGATGAGACCACTCTTCTTTCTTATGTAGACGACCTGCTTTGGATCACTCAATCGGCTGACGGGCTTTTGAGAATCCTGGGCTCAATCTTGCTGCTGTCCGTGCTGGGTGTGCCGTTCGCCTGGCATAAGTTTGCGGGGGGAGGAGAGCATATCCCTGAGAAGAGCTGATTGGATCGTGGGCTGGATTAAGAAGACCAGAGCCGATGGATTGGTTCGGGTCGCGGACCTCAGATCGGTCTTGGGTAGACTTTCTTTTGCCTTTTCTGTAAAACCTCTTCTTAAGCCGTTCTTGGGACCTATTTATGCGTGGGCGGCTGCTGTCCAAGCTTGTCACACCTTGCGCCTGCCCAAAGCTATTTTTTTGATCCTGCTTTTCCTGCAGAAGGCCCTGGAACAAGGTTTGCGGAGGGTCGAAGTTCCTCGGTTTTCGTGCCCACCGAAGGAACACTTCAGAACGGATGCCAAGGCTCAGGGTTCAGAGCTCTGGGTTGGAGAATGGTGTTGCGCAGACGATGCGGATCCTCATCACTGCAGGTGGTTCTCCGAAAAGATTGATCACGTCAAGTTTCCGGTTTTCTTCATGGCTGGTCAGCCTTACCGCTCCATAGGGGCGCTAGAGATGCTGGCGACACTGATTGCTCTCCTTCTTTTCGAAGAAAGGGACGCGTGGGGTCAATCATTGTTCTGCCGCGACCGACAATCGAGGGAATGCTTTCATCACCTCTCGGTGGATGACGACTTCGTTCCCGCTCAATGCGGTGTTGATGGAGGTCGCGGCCTTCCTACTGCAAAGGTCTCTGCATCTCGAGCTTCATTGGGCACCAAGGCTGCAGAACGCATTGGCTGATGCTTTGACGAATCAGCAGTATGATGCCTTTGATCCCAAGCTGCGTTTGAGATTCGATTTCAGCAGATATCGCTCCATCATTCTTAAAGATCTCATGGATGCTGGAGTTTCGCTGTATGGCGATATCAAGGAGTACAAAGAGAAGTGGCAGGGCAAGAGAGCAGCGAAGTTGCGAAAGGGAGAGCGCTTACGTGATCTTGATCCGTGGACATAGCCTCGCTCCCGTCAGCGGTGCTAGGGGATCAGTCGTTGCGGTTCGCATCGGCTGTGCATCAGGCAAAGTCTGATGCCCCATGGGCCATCGCACGCACTTTCCTCGTGATGAGGTAAAAGAACAGGCATCTTCACTGCTGCAGCTTCTCTTTTCCTTGATAATTTCGTAAGTTATATTGGATGGGTCATTTTCAATATATGCTTTAATGTCCATATCAATATAATATTTGCTCTGAGTGGAAGATATTCTTCCCGGGTGGGCTTGGCGGGTGTGGCTTGCTTGAAATCACTGCTACGATACGATTATCAAGGAGGCCAAGCACAATGGCGACTACGAGTCTAAGCCTGCTTCGGTTTTCGACCGTGTGGTAGCGGCGCTTGATGCGTCGTTTCCACGAGAGTGACGAAGCTAACTAAGGCCATGAAGGCTCGCACCCGGTACGATAACGAGGCTACCCAGTTTCAGGAGGTTTTCTGGCTGGAGGCCCTCACGGAGCTCAACTCCGCCGGGGTTTACAAGTGCCAGAAGGACCTGCTCTACGACTACCTACACAAGATTGGGTCCTTTCTCTGCGACGAAGTGTCGCGAGACCGGCGCTTTTGGCCGTTGCGGCCATCCCCTGGCGTGAAGCAGGAGTTCCGAGGTGTGGAAATCTGGTCTGAAGCCACGCTCGTCGCGCGTGAGACTACACTTCGCAAGGACGCGAACAAGGCCTTGGAGTCCCATCACGCTACCAGCGAGGCTGAGCCCACGCGTTCCCCAAAAACCCCAAAAAACAAGAAAAATGAGAGTGGGAACGGTGGGGCGGACGCCACGCGTACGCAGTCGGTGGGACTTCCCAGTGGCACTGGGGATCGCTGCAAACACTGCAACAATCCCGGGCACATCATTTCGCTTTGCCCGAGGAAAGCGGCAGAAAAGCGCGGCGAATCGGAGGCTCTCGCGGAATTCGGCCGGACCGGTGCTGTTTGCAATCTCTGCGCGGCCGTGGGGATTAAAGACGGCTCGCATCGGCCTAGGCACCACACCCTGGCGGCTCAAGACCAGTACGCTACCGGTGGCTCTGCACCGAGTGGCGGCAAGGGTGGCGGTGGAGGCGGAGGGAATGCTAAGGGCAAGGACAAGGGAGGCAAGGGAGGTAAAGGCAAGGGCGGAGCTAATTCCGGCGAGAAGCAGCCGTGCCGTCTCTTCGCCCAGCGACGCTGCACTTACGGCGATAAATGTAAGTTCGCTCATGTCAAGGATGCTGCAAACACGCAGCAGGATACCTCCCAAGCTCTCACGGCCAAGGAAAAGAAAGCTGCAAAGAAGAAGGAGAAGGGAAAGGCAAAGAGAGGGGCCTCGGGCTCTGACGAAAGGGTGTATCCGCTGTTTGAGGTTTCCTCGGGGACTTCTCCGGGTGAGACCGGTGCAGTGGTTTATGACTCTGCGCTGCAGGTGGCTGAGCCGGCCACCAAGCAGTGGCGTCACTGGCCTGGGTCTCTGGCAAAGGTTCCGAAGGACCTTAAGACGGTGGCTTCTGCCCCGTCGCCGGGCTACAATGCTCAGACGCGTACCAGCTGCGCCGGTGTGGAGCTCGTGATTCTGTTGGATTCTGGAGCGACTTGTGGGTCTTTGCCCGAATGGTTGTTCGCAGAAATCTACGAGCGCACCGCCGCGGATGTGGCGAAGGGGAAGTACACGTGGACTGATCGGAGCTGCCCGATTCGAGAGATAGGAGATTTCTCGAAGGACCCTCAGAGCATGCTGGGGTTCAAAAGGGGCACTGCTATCGAGACGAAGTTCTACGTGATACTCCGCCTCGTGTTCACCCCAGTGGGGAGAGGCGGGCCGCAGCACGTAGCCGTCAGGCTCAAAGTGATGCCTGCTGATTCCGCAGGCTTTCCAGGAGTCGTAAAAGGCAACCGACAGTCGGCCCGAAGGGGCTACAACACCGCGTGGCTGACGTTGGACACCGGTTCGACAAGTTGGGCCTGACTCTGCCCCGTTTGGAACTCGAACGAGAGACGTTCCTCATCAATGGAACGGAGTTGCGGGTCGAGTCGAGCCTGCGTCCGGCGTTGGAAACCGAGGTTAGCCTCGAGAGCAACCAGTCCGCGGTTGTACCGGTCACTTGGATCGGGGAGCCGAACGGAGTGGCTCGCGTCATCCCTGTGGATGAGGGCCCGGATGTGGCCTTTGGACACTTTGATCCCGACCTGTCTCGGGAGGGGATGGTTGTTTTGCACAATGGTGGCCCGCTCGCTAGGCAGTGGGAGGCCGGCGACGTGGTTGCAGCCGGAAAGGCGGTTTTGAAAGACCCGTCGCGCTGTGCGATGAGTAGCGAGTGTCAGGCGTGTCAGCGCCTGCTAGGTCCACACTCTGCTGCTCTCGCTGAAGTCGCTGCTTTAGGCGGAAAGCCTTTCGGCGGATGTCCTGCGTGTGGACTCCTGCCCGACAGTAATCACACTAGTTCGGCCCTCTTGCGGGCTCGAGACACGGTTGAGCGTTTTGCGGAACGGTTGGTTCGGGAGCAAGACTTCTCGGTACCGTCGTTCCACCTTTTCTGCAAAGAGTTGCGTGCTGCATGGTGCCTTGAACCATGGTCAGTTGCGCGGCTCTAGCCGGCGCGAGGCAGCGAAAGCTGTAGAGCCTCGCCTCGTGCTTGGCAGCTTTCGGCGTGGGGGCGTGGTTGGTACCGCGACCGCGACGAGGCATTGGCCGCAGACGGCGACCTACCTGAACGGGATTTTAAAGGGTCGTTGTGAAGCTGCGGGTGTTGCTACCGAGTCGTGGAATGCCCTGGCCATTTCGCTTGCCGGTGACATGCCGCTTCACCGCGACTCGAACAACCGTCGCGGGTCGCACAACTTCCTGTTCTGCACCGGGAAGTACACCGGCGGAGAGCTCTGGGTTCAGGAGGATGCGGCGGTGTCAACACAGCATCGCCTGCAGCCGTGCAGCTGGACTGATGGCGAAAATCCTGAAGGCATCCCAGGGTTCAAAGTACCCACTAAGGGCGCATTGATTAAGTTCGATGTGCGGGTCCGGCATGGAGTGCTGCCGCACACTGGGGAGCGCCAGCGCACCTCCGTTGTGGCGTACTCCGTCTACTTGCTGGAGCGAGCCCCTTAAGGTACCGCTCTACGCTTGGGCTTTGGAGCGAGTTTTGGGGTCACCGAGGCCAGTGCACTCCGCTCCAAGGGAGCGTGGAGTGTTTTTACGCCTTTGGCGGAGGCTGTGCTCATGCGGTGCAGTCCTCATAGCAGCGGACCCAAGCCCGATGTGCTGGTCGCTAGGCTTACCTTCTGCAGCCATTCAGGTCAGTTGCTTGAGCGTTGCTTTGCTCCAATGGAGTTCCTCGAGTTTACGGACCCGACGGATACTCTGACCGTGTTTATACACGAGGATCTGACGAAGGCGAGCTCCTTCGCAGAGTTGCAGCTCGGGTTTGTTTGACTTGGAGGGTGACCGATGCGGGCCCAACCGGGTTGCAGAGGGATATCTCATTGACATCTGCCGTGGAAGCGAGCCCGGGGATTGCTCCCCCGAGTTCATGCACCACTTGGTGGAGGACGAGGCCCTTGTGGACTCGATCTTGAACGACGAGGTGCCTACCTGAGGCGTACTACCAGGCCTACCGTGCTTTCTTGCACGATGAGTTCCCGCAGGCATGCTCGAGCACATTGCCGAGCTGGTGGAGCTCTTTGACCTGTGCATTTGCATAGGCTTCAGCTTGGGGATTGACAAGCTCGTGCTGCCTTAAGCCTCAGCTGAAGTCTCTGGGCGAGATTGTCGGGCGTCACGGCAGAAGCCCAGACCCGGTGGCCGCGCTGTCGGAGTGGGGCCCAATCGGGTCACTCAAGCAGCTTCAGGAGTTCTGAGGCACTGCGAACTACAGTCGTGATCAGATCGGTCCGAAGATTCGCTGTTGCTATGGACCCGCTACGTCGCTATTTGCGCGAGGGAGACAAGGCGTTTCCTATGACGCCGCGAGGTTTAGAGGCTGTCGAGTGGCTGAAGTGCTTGATGCGCAAGGCCACGTGCTTAGCGGTGCCGGACGAGAGAGCGGCTGCTAATGGCAGCAGGCCTTACGAGCAGCTAGCTGACTGCTGCAAGGCAGGTCTGGGAGGTGCGCACCTCCAGATGTCCGCGGATCTCCGCCGGTGGGAACCCGTTGTTGGCGTACCACGCTGAGTCGCTCTCAACAGCGCAGACGCTCTGGCATCCCTTCAGGCAAGAGCAACACGCTCAGCTGAAAAGTGCAGGCGTAAGTTCCGGTCCCTTTTTGGATCGGTACCGGTTGTAATGTACACCGATCATGCTAACATTGTTCGTTTGCAAGACAAGCCACTGGACCAAATCGATCCAGTGAGCTTCCGGACTTGTTCCGAGTTGACTGCAGACGGCAGTGAGATCCGGAACCTTTCGGGCCGCAGCATGAAGCTTGCCGATGGGCTGAGTGGGCTGTTCGAGACTACGGGAGTTCCCGCCGAGCAAGAGCAGGAGATGCTCAAGCGTCTTGAGCGTCGAACTCAGGAGCTCCAGACTGCGCATGCACGTTTGCGCGACCCCGATTGTGACGATTTCTTAGAGTTTCCGGAGCCAGAGCCCGAGCCTAAGAAAGTCACCGCAGCCGAGGTTGCGAGGGGGCAGGAGCTAGTTTCTGAGCAGGTGCAGACGGCGGCTGAGGGAAGCGGAGCGCTTCATCCCCCGATGCCCGTGCTGTATGCGCCGGCCTACCAATCGACGCCAGATGCGTCGGTGCAGGTAGGGCTCATCGAGGATGGCTTGCGCGCGTAGTCATCGGAAGCGCCTCGCCTTTCGCCGACGACGATAATTTCGGGTACTGGATGGAAGTTCGGGCCCGTCAGACGTCGGAGTCGGTATGCGCAAACAGATTCTCACAGGTGTCGTTATGCTCGTTAGAGAAGTCTGTCGGAGGCGGCCGAGGATGCTGGTAGGGGCCCACCAAGGGGGCCTTACAGTGCTCCTTAGCTCCCTTCCGCTGGTCGTCGAAGCCGCACTCCGTGGACGAGTTTTTACGGCGGTTGAGCTTGCGGATGCGCGCAACACTTGGGTCGCAATAGAAGGCTTCGTCGGCATCGAGCCTTCGATTCAAGGAACTTACACTGACGTGGCTTTTCTGTTGCCCATTCGGACATCATCTGCGGGCCGTGCGCTGCTTTGCGCACTGAGAAGCCGGCCACGTTGGCCATGGCGGAGCTTTCGCTCAGTTATGAGGAGCGTCTTCTGGGCCCTGAAGACGAGGAAGGCGACGATTCATGGACCCGCCTCAAGGGCAGCTCCAAGGAGCTTGCTCTTAAGAGGTCTATGGGGTTTGATTCCTGTTGCAGGGACTTTTTCACCGAGTCGGTGAGAGGCCCAACTGGGTTAAGG